GGTTGTGCGAGCATCGCGCAAGGTCTCCAATTTAGGATTTTAAATATGCTACGTGGTGGCCGGACTGACAAATACTGCACGGGGGCTGCGGAAGCCTTCTCCACCATCTGCGAAAACATCCCTGACTACCTGGACTCTGGATGCTGGTGGCACAACCCTTTGCCATGCCTCCTAACTTGGCCGCCTGTGCCCTTCCACATAAATCAAAAGTCTCGCTCAAGGTTGTTGCTTGCCTTCCCGTCGTTCTTCGCAGGTGGCGCCAGCAAATCTGTGGAGCCGTCCGAGTGAGCTACCATCTGCACCTGCAGCCATGGCAAAAATTGCCACTTGCTGCGAACAAGGACCCACACACACACACACAAAAAAAGAAAACAGCAAACAAACAAACAAACAACCAAACAACCAAACAAGCAAACACAAACGATCACACACATACGCAGATACACATCCGTTGACTGCTGGCATCCACGCGAGAAAGGCATCGTGTCATGCCGTGCTGGCTGAGTGCGGCACACTCTGGCGTCGCATCACAAAACACCTGCCGATGCGGCAACCGGCAAAGACCAGTTACTTCTTCAAACTGCCGCTTGTAAAGCCATGTGTCCTGCCTGAAAGGCAAGTCAAACAATTACAGTCAGGTTTCCTGATGGCGACAGTCCACGCCCTTTGCAACTAGATTCACATGCTTTAGCATGAAACACGGAAGACCTCGCTTCAAATGTGTTTGCCAAAGGCTTTTTGACCAAGCTGAGGCACAAAAACCAGCCCGAAACGCAACCCAGCATCGCTGTCTGACTTGCAGAACAAATGCTTAGCCGCAAACTCGCAAGGGGGGCATGACCTTCAGGTTTCGGAGATGCAAGCATCACGCCTTCCGAAGCCGCGGTCAAGAGCAGCTCTGTTCATGATGATGGCATCCTCAATGTCGTAGCCGCTGTAGCCTGTGATCTGTGGGACAACCAGCTTTGCTCTGTGGACAGCAGGTAAAAATCTGATCCAGATTCATGAGCAGGTAAAGCCGGAAAAGCTGTAAACTTAGCTGATCACTCTAGCACAGCCAAGAACAAAGCTGCACTCTCATTTCCACCAAGCTAAAGCAGTAGCTCTTTGCAGGGGAAAGAAATTCATGCGCAAGAAATGCTGGTTCCGATTTCCGGTGCCCTAGTGCATGCATAACTTCTGGTCTTCTTTTTGCACAGTCTTCAAGCAACAGCATGCAGCATGCCCAAGCTAGTCGATCCAACAGCTTCTCGTCCTTCGATTTTGGCCCTATCCTTTCACCTCTAGTTGCCCCCGTGCCTTGAGTCCTGAGTTACCCAAAGGCACACAGCCCAAATCATACCACGGTCCAATCGTCCGATGTGGATTCAAGGAGCTCATCACAGCCACCGAGGCATTCTGACCAGCGCCCAGGTGGTGAAAGTTCACCAGATTCCTGAGTACGCCGACGTGCAAACACGATGGCCATGTGTTTGCTGGGTGGGTCGTTGAATCCCGGCCACTGCCCCTGTTTTGGTTTGCCAAAGGAACACCCTTCTGAATGATCAAGCCATTCCACTCAAACAGGCTTCCGGATTTGAGGTGTTCCTTGAATGCGCCAACGCACAAAGCAACCAACAAAACGACGCCGACCAGGAGCTTCGCTCTCAGCGGGTCTGAGCCAAGGCTCAAGGTCTTGCTGGCGCAAAGCGGCTTCTCGGGGTAGACCAGGCCCAACAAAAGCGTGTCCTCGCGCGGGCGTACTTTGGCTGGAGAATAGGCCAGGGTGTCGGAAGTGGCTCCGGTTCAGCAAGCAAAACACGCCAAAGCTCAGATCAGTTCATGTGAGCAAATGTTGGAAAGCAAGCTGCGCTCTCACCTCAGGTGAGGCCTGCAAATACGTGGCAAACCAGGGCAACATGTCTGCATGCAAGCTGCTGAGCGAGTGAACTGATTCATGGCGATGCAGCCCATCGCTTGCTTTCCTGAGAGCCCAGGGTCGGGCAGCAAACGTTTCTGCCCTTCAGTGCTTGCACATTTCACATTGATGACGCGTCTGCCAGTGCGACAATGCAAGCTTTCGGTTAATGTCTGCTTTCCAAGCATCCCATGGCGCATTCGTAGGTGTTGCGTGGAGACTGGTTGTGGTTGGGATACGGGATCAGGCCGGACACAACGCCTGGCATTGAGGTGAACAGTGCAGAATAATACTTCACGGTTCCGTTAGGAATCCAGCCGGCCGTTCTGATCTTGCGTCTACAGCTCGTTGGCATTGCTTTATGCCATGCCTTGTCCCTACATGCAACAGTGACCGAAGCTCATCACTACAAAATGCAAAGGTTCAGGGTGCGGCCAGGCCACAAAAGCGACACATCCTACAAAACACGAGGCCTGGCCTCCTGGAAACCTCAACATTCTGCAAAAAAAAGGAATCCTAAACTTGACCCAAGACTCGGCTCGTGTGCCTCCTGAGGCAAATGCACACACCCACCCACACACAAACACAAACACACACACACAG